TTCCTGCTGTCAAACTGTGTGAAACCTTTCCCACAGAGTGTGAAAATCACTTTTGTTAGGCTCATAGTCTCATAAGTGAAGGGACCTTACCACTGGAGAGAGCACTGTGGAATGTTGCAAATACAGCACCTGTATCACCCAGCTGTCACTTCTAAATTGTTATGCCCATCTTTGTTTAAGATAGCATAAGGAGACCTTCAGACCCCTAGTAATAAAATAAGGTTGGTGGGTGCATTTCCACACCCTGCCTCAGAAAAGGACCACCAGTTACACACCACCTCTCCAGGAGATGCGATTTTGACACCTCGGGGCTTGGAGGAGTGGAAGTTTGTGCCACAAGCAGGACAGATCTTATTGGATTAACTCTGACCTCGTGACATTTCCATAACTGGCAGTGCAATGCTATCTGTGTAGCTTCTGAGAAAACTTGTGTCTTCCATCCTCTCCCCTCATCCTCAGTCTGTAGTTACCACCAGCAAGTATCCCTTGCCCTTACCTTTAGGAATTCCTCAACTCCCAGAGGTAGGAGTTAGTTTCTTCTCCATTCTGGAGAAACCGATTCCTGCCTCCTTCTGAGAAATGGAGTCCATGGGGCACTCGCTCCTGTACACTGTGGGATTTCCCTCCCATTCCTGATTTCAAGCTTCTGAGGGAAGCCTGGAGTGCTAATCCTAAAAGATCTCACAAAAGTGTTCGTTCAAGTGAGGCTTGGCCTGCGCTGGAGACTCTGGCTCCCTTTGCTCCCTGTACCCCCAGTGGCCCTCTCTCTCCCCTGCGTGGCCCTCCGCCTGGCCCCTCGCACTCACCAGGAGGAGGTTGTGCGCCACCAGGTACCCGAGTCGAGGGCCTCCCCTCACGCCAGGGGCCAGGCGCCCGGTGACATAGCCATGCCAGGCCACCACGTAGGGGTTGTCGATGGTGATCCAATACTTGACCTGGCCACAGAAGTGGAGGAAGCAGAGCTCGGCATAATCCCTAAAGTGGTCGGCCAGAGCGCTGTTGGTCCAGCCGCCGTAGGCGTCCTGCAGGCGCTGGGGCAGGTCCCAGTGGTACAGGGTGACCACGGGCTGCACGCCCACCTCCCGCAGCCGCTCCAGCAGGCGCCGGTAGTAGCGCAGACCCTCGCGGTTGGGGGCACTGGTGTTGCCGTTGGGGAGCACCCGCGCCCACGAGATGGAGAAGCGGTAATGAGTGACCCCGAGCTCCCGCAGCCCCTCCGTGTCGCGCAAAACATTATTGTAGCCGTCGCTGGCCACGTCGCCGGTGGCGGGCGGAGGTGGCGACGGAGCGCCCAAAGGCAGGTCGGCGACCGCGGGGTCGCCCGAGAGCGCTGGGGGAGAGTGGGTGAACGTGTCCCAGATGGAAGCGCCCTTGCCGTGCTGCCGCCAGCCGCCCTCCGTCTGGTAGGCGGCGCTGCCCACGGCCCGGCGGA